CCCCCCCACCATACACTTCCCTGAATCCAGCTGCTGAGTCTGCTCCCTGGACTCTGTCTGTCTGTCTGGTGTGTGTGTGTGTGTGTGTGTGTGTGTGTGTGTGTGTGTGTGTCCAGGCAGCAGCAAGGGGGAAGGGGCCGCTTTCCCCCCCAGCACACAGGCAAGCATGCAGCAGTGAGGGGATAGCAGCGATTAATGCGTCATCGTCAGCGATTAATGCACATTAAAAACTTAACGCACAATCAAATTAATGTGTTAATTGCAGGCATTAATCATGATTAACTGACAGCCCTAAAAATATTATTTCTTATTCAAGGTCCACATTCAATCATATCATCTCACTATACCTTGTCCAATAAGATAGGCTTAATGGTACATTTGTGCAATGGTTCTGGGGAAGAAATAGTAATGTGATGTTCTCATTTTGATATACTTTTCCTAACAGTGCCATCAGTTAGCTCATAACTTAGCTAGCTTACCAAAAAAGCACTGTATTCTACTTAGAAATTGTATTAAGGAAGGAGATTCAGTGTAATCATTGTGCATAATGCATCTTTTTCTAGTGAGCTGGTCTACATAAGAAATAAGACTTGTGGCCAGCAAACAGAGCAAACCTTTTGGTGTTTTTGGGTGCTTCAAGATTCATTTTCCATCCCTCATAAACATTTGGACACATGCAAATAAGGAGTTAGTGAAGTTAATGATTAATAACAAAAACATAATGAATCCATCACCCATAAAATTAAAATTTTAATGTGAAAGTAAACCATTTTTCTATACTTACAGGTAGTCCTTGTGGCCCTACAGGCCCAGGGCCACCGGGAGGTCCTGAATAGCCCTAAAATAAAAGTACAGAAAAGGGAATGAGTAACTCCTATCTAAATTGTCTGGAATGTACTACAAGCCACCATTTAATTTTCTGAGAGCATAAAAAAAACCGGTATTTGGCAGTCCCTTCCCCAAACATTTTGTATATAGAAAGAAGATGTACACAGATATATCACTGACATTATGAAGTGATATGCCGGGTTCTCTAACATTTTAAAAAATTTTTCCCCATCACTAACATTACTAGTCTGCCAGCTTGTATACTAGCTAAGAAAAATGCCACCCAAAAGCACGGTCTGGCGAGTCCAAAATGGTGGCTTTGGAGGTGATGTTTGTTAAAACAATCTCCACTAAAACTGTAATAGAGAAAATCTACTTGCCAAGGTGTGATCAGGCACAGCTCTAGGAGTGTATACAACATTTCCAGCCTGTCCTAGAGATGATTCAGTGTGGTACCTCCCACAGACACAGCATAACTAGTCTAGAACAGCTGATACAAAATCTATTAGCCCACTAATTTGCCACTCCAGTGCTCTGCACCATCTTCCTTCTGAATGAAAGAGCTAGTTTCAAGCTCTCTGGTCTTGATTTTCAAATCCATCCCAAGGATTGAAAGGCTGCTTCTTCTCAGTGGTCTATGACCTCCCACAACAGTTACTATCAGTTGTTTCTGTGAAGAACAGTTTAGTGTTGTTTGTAAAATATCATTAAATCCAGAGGAGAGGGAGATGTCATGTAGTAACGTAATGCATGTTACCTACAATTCTCTCTGAACTTCTTACAAAGAACAAATGAAAAGCCTATAAATCTTTTCAATGTATTACTGAACCACTACAGTCCTTGGAAGCAGGCACATGTTCATATGTTAACTAGTGCCTTTTCAAAGCCAGGTTGGAGATGGGAAGATCCTTTGGAAAATGAATATAACTTTGCTTCTCCCGAGAATCTGCTTGAAACCAAGTTTGCAACAAGGAAAGGCTCAAGTGATAATGGCATGCTTATAACACTTATAATGAATAAGTGGATATTTATGGCTCTTAAGAGTCTTCCTTCCCCCTTCCCTTCCCCTCCATGCTCAGCAGCATGTTCCCTCCCCTTCCTTGCCCTCCCCACCTCCAATGCTGCTGAATCCTGCTGACCCAGGGTGGTAGGGCAAAGGCTCCTAAGCTGCTCCTGCTAGGCTGCATGTGAACCCAGGCTTGGTAAGAGACAGCAGTGGCAGCTAGGTTCCCTTCCCCTGAGCCTGCTCCCAAGCTGGAAGAGAACACCCAGGGGGACTGGATAAGAAAGCTAAACCTGCCTACTGCTGCTGCTGTCCCTGGCTGAACCCAGCTCCACACAGGAGAGCTGGAGAGGGCAGAAGTGGCTCTGGAGTTCCCTCCCACCCCACTCCCACCATTGGCACAGCCTGAGATAGTGGTGGTGGTGGTGGTGAGTATGGGAAGGGGATGGTATGGGAGGGGAGAGGACTTGCAGCAGAGCATGGAGGGGAAGGGAAGGGGGAATTCTGACTTGCTTCAGGAGCTTAGAAAAGTCCCTGGCTACTACTCCCCCAGTGTGGTTGACTGAAAAAGGGGTGCATCTGTGCCATTGCACTCCCCTTGTATCTGCCCCTGAATACATCACGAAAACTACTTTCCAGGGTTACAATGGCCAAAATTAATTACTTTGAGGGAAGGAAAGTTCCATTGTAAATACTGCAAATAGACAGATATAACAGTTGTATCACTATTAAAGGATATTGATATAAACTGTTAAGATGTAACTGTTACATCTGTGTGATTCTATGCAATACAAATCTAGCAAAACCACTCCAACTTTAATCTGGTTTCATTCAGGGTTAAAGTCAGAGTGATTCAAACATAAGAGTGCTGCTCTCCCTCCCCACCCAACCATCACTAATAAAGTGGCTGAAAAGTATGTTTTCCTACCCTAAGTAACCTAAATCTGACTGTACCTCATTTATTGCTTACCATGACACCTTTCTCTCCAGGAGGGCCCACTGGTCCTGGGCTGCCCCGCTCCCCCTTTAACAAACAATTGAAAAAAAATAAACAGACAGATATTTAGGCAATTTCCTTCTACATGTAGAGTGGGAAGTTTTATTCAGTCTGCAGCCCTTAGAATTCCTGTGACACGGGCAGCAGGCAAAGGAAGGCAAAAACAGAGAGCAGGGAGCACCAGCTTCTCTGGGGTGATTTCAGATCACAGATACAAGGTCCTTGCTGCCTTTACAACTGATATTTTGGAATTAGCAAGGAGTAGGAAGATGAGTGATTAAGTTGGGGAGTATTTTGGGGACTGCTAAGCAATCTGTGTAGGAAAAAATATTAAAAGAAATAATACTAGATCAAACCATATATTATACAGATGTATATGGTACTTCATAGTACAGTTTGATACCATAAATTATGAAGTCGGAAAAGCATAAAGGAACAGCATAGTCATGGAAAGCATTATTCTGTCACTAAGAAGTTTATTTCCCTTTGCAGATAGATTAACTTTATTTTGCTACATTTCTTCTTCATTCAGCAACAGTATCTAAAAATAATCCTGTCTGAGTATAATTAGGAAGTGTCCACAAATTTTAAAAAGTCCTTTGATATCATATCTAGACAAACAGTTACAATTAAAGCCTTCTATGACTTTTCTAAATTTAAGTTTTGACCACTGATATTTTCACGCTACATATTTCCATTCCCCGATAATATAAACTGAAAATAATTATATCATATTTTAATGGAAATTATAATGTAGTCATAGAACAGGATTTTTTCCAATAACATCCTCTTAAATTCCAGCTATGAACCCAAGGGAAATAATTTATCCCTGCAGGGTAGAAATGTGGATGGCGCTGATCATTTTGACAGTCTATTATGTTTTATTATAATTGAAACTGACATCCAGTCAAGTAAAAGTTTTCTGTTTTTCATCTTTTTTTCTTAAAAAAGCCTCATCAAACATTTTAAGTTTTACCAGACTTATTCATTTAACTGTATTTAGAAACTAGCTCAGAAATGTTATTAAATGCTTACTGCCAAGTAATAGTGTTCCACTTCTCTGTCAACTTCAGAACAAAGGGTATGGACACATGACACATTATGAAATAAACTGACTAAGTGGTAAAAGTGGGGCAGATGCATGACATACAGCTTTAAATCAGTATAAGTCACTCAGGAAGTGAGGACTAAATCTCCACTGGTGTAAATTACATTTAGGTCCTAATCATGTATCTATTCCCCTAGCCAATTATATCCCAGGGCAACAGCTTTACTCAGGGTAAAGAGACTCTCCACCTAGTCATAGAGCCTACTGTACGTAGGTATACAAGTTGAGCTAGCTCAGTGAATCTCAACCTGGATCCATGGCATCCTGGGGTGCCTTGACATCCTTTCAAGGGTGATGTGGGGTGCCACAGTGTTAGCCCTATTAGGTGTATAAACACAATTCATAAGATAAAACCAATGATTTCAAATAAAAAACCATAGGACTAAAACATTTTGACTGGTTGTGATCTTTCTTTGCAATAGAAAGATTGCTGTATTATTTTTCCATAATCAAAAAATGAGTGAAAACTAACAGTTGGCATTTTTGGAGAGATGCCTTAAACCTAACAAGGGGTGCCTTGAGTCTAAAAAGCTTGAGAACCACCAAGTTAGCTGATGGTGTGCCCACTCCATACTGGGCATGTCTACATGAGACATTTACTGTGGAGTAGACAAATTAGACTAAATACAAGTACTATCCTGCTGCAGAATTTTTTTACTGTGTCTGCACTCTAAATGGCCAATGGCCACTTGATTAAAACAAATAATAAACTCAGAGTAGACAATGCAGTGGGTAATAAAGCAAGCACTTGGGAATGAAAAAATATCTCTTCTAACTATATCAAAGACACAACCTTAAATTTCTTTATAAAATAAAATCCAAGGTGCCACAAGTTGTTTACAAATATTGGACAGGTGTTGCATTTCATTACATCTCTATTAGAATATTATTTATGTTACAGTAATCATTAAATTACCTATCATCAACATATAGTTTCACAAACTGATTAATATTGCTGAATATATTACAGTGCTATAATTTACCTTTTCACCAGGATTTCCAGCTGGTCCAGTTTCTCCAGGTAAACCCACAGATCCCTACACATGAAAATAAAACAGATTTTATTACAGCAATGCCTGTACTGATTCAGGCTTTTGTATCCACCAACAATCTAAGGCTAGATGGTAGAGCCTGTATTCACCCTGGTAAGCCACTTGTTTCAAGTAGATGTAGTGGTTTTAGAAGGACTATTTGCATAAATGTTCACCTGTGAGAAATCCATTCATTTCAGTAAGTGACTAACTGCACTCAATAGAACTGTGCATGAGTGCTAGTCTCAGTGAGAAAGGGTTGTATTACCTAGCCAACAGTATTTTGGGACAGATAACAGTGTTTTATGTCAAATCCCCCCCCCCAACTCTGTCCTCTTCCCACAGCACTTCAGAATTTTCCCTACTATCCTGTTCTTCAGTATTTAGCAGGAACTTCACTATTAATGGACTAGCCAATTCCTGTCAAGAATGACTGAGGGTGGGAAACGGAGTGCCATCACCCAATGCCCCATGATGCTGCTGCTCTACCTCTGGGGCTCCCCACCCTGTCCGCTGCTGGCATTGCCCCCCCGTTCCATCCTATCTGTTCCCTGCCATCATGGCAGTGGTCTGCCTTGCCAGTCTGTCCTCACCATCCTCCTCTGCCTCCAAGGACCAGGGCCAGGGCCAGTGTTGTGTTTTTTTGTGCTTGTGTTTTTTTTTATTTTCTGTTTGCATCTGTTGGATGCCATGGCAAGGCTGGATCTGCCTCCGGCCCTGTGCATCATCCCCCACCCCCTGCATCTGGCCCCGTGCTCCAGAACAGGGGGACGAGGCCAGCGCTGCCTCCGGGCCCTCAGTCCCTGCTGTCATGGGAAGGAGGGGGTAGGTGGAGATGGAGCCCTGCATCCATCCCTGGCCTGCTTCTCACCCAGCCCCATTCCCTGCTGTGATGCAGTGGCGAGGTGGGATCTGCCTCCAGATTAGAGTGCCCCCCCAATGTCTGGCCCTGGGCTCTGTTGCTGCTATCTGCAAGCAGCAGCTCCGGAGGGTGGGGGGGGGAAGGAGGGGGAGTGACCAGCACTACTGGCTTCGCCCCCTGCTTTGTCCCCTCTGTCCCTGGCGCTCCACTGTGCCGCTGCCTCCTGTCCCAACTCTCTTGGAGCACCCTGATTGGTTGCTTCAGTCAGGCAATCAGAGTGCGAATAAAGCATTATGGACAGACAGACAGACAGACAGACAGACATACTAAGGCTTTTATTTATATAGAATTCTTCTGGGAGTACATGACTGATGTAAGAAAGGTGGAAAGGTCCCCTGCTCTCTTATCCACAATCAGAAAAAGATGTTGCAGTAAAGTGGAATACTGCATTATTATGATAAAGCATTTGCATAATGGTAGCACCTACAAGCCTCCCAGGCTGGGCCTCACCATACCAGGAGCTCTACAAACATGACTAAAGGAGCTTCTTACTCTGCTAATACTTCAGTCCTGGCAACACATTTCCAAAAGAGTATAAAATATGCCACTGAATCAAAGACTGAGGGAGTCCAAATTCCTCCAAAGACAAAAATCTATTGGATTTGGGCTTCAATTATTTTCCTTGAGCTTACTATGGACAAACTGACCCTCTAAATAATAGGGAATGTTGGCTAAAGCACAGGATCAGATTCTCTACCTCTTTTTGCAATTAAATAACTGCATCTAGAGACTCCTCCAACAATATCCACTAGCAATGTACTAGATACAGCAAGTGATCCATATGAAGAGGTTCCAAGAGCATGCTCTGCTAATAAAAGTTGAAATAATTTCAAACTAACTCAGACTCTCTAATTCTGCTCTTGTTGAAGCCAAAGTAGGAATGTTAATAGTTGCTGGGTACTTCCAGTACGCAATATCATTGTAACATTCAAAGAAAACTTAAAAAGATAAGATTTAATATCACTGTAATACTAGGCCCTGACTTAGCAAGGTACTTAAACACACAATTTAGGCAAGCACACGCCTCCCCAAGTCAGTGCCTAGGGCTGGTGCCTCAATTGTCCCTCTCCCCCATTTGGTTATACTACTAAGCGTTGACCTCACTGAGTTCATTCACATGCTTAAAGTTAGGCTCTTAAGCACCTTGCTAAATGAAGCCCCAAAACAGAAAACAAGAAAATTTAGAGATAAGACTGTTTTAAGAGGGTAACTACTTGACTGCTACCCTGATGTTCCTCTCCATGGGTATAAAGGACTGAGGACCGCTTACATTTTTTCTTTTTGTCATCTATTTAGCAAATTGGTTACTTTTCTATTGACTATTTGGCTAAATGTCATTAGTCACAATCATAGGGTATATCCAAATAAGCATGTATATTGTGTTTCCCCAGGGAAAAATAGCAAGTGGCACGTAGTTGTGCCACTACTGCTTGTCCCCGGGTAAAGCCCATGCACCTGCGCTCTGGCATGCAGGAAATTGCCCTGGATGGGGTAGGGGAGGCTGAATCCAGCATCTTGGCTGGCCCCAACAGCCTTGCCTGGGGTCTTCGGGGAGTCCTGGGGCTCCAGTGGTAGCAATTCAGGTGTGTGGAGCCTGGCTGCCAGTCAAAGCGTGGCTTTGGCCAGTCAGGTTCTAGTTTTGTGTGGCAAACGCTGCTGCCACATGTGCTGCCTTGCTTTTTTTTGGTGTGGGTTTTTTGACACTGGGATCTCCCAATGTCAAAAAACCCTGCTGTGCTGCTAGATAGCAGCATGGTGGATGCCCGCATGTGCGGCATGTGTGGTTTACTGGTCTGTGACGCCACGCACTGCACATGCACACTTGTCTGGATGCCCATAGAGTTTCTCTCACATGCTATGATGACTACTAATGTGCACGAAGAATATAAAAAAGGTTTATTTTAAAGGGCTTAAATTAATTTCAAAATCTTATCCTGTGTTGTTTGATGGTTTAGATGTTGGGTTTCAGGGGTGGAAGGAAGGAATACATATATGAATACCTGTGAAGACAAATATGCTGACAAAGAACTCAAAGGAGTTAATGGAAAGATTTGGAGTAAGATAGCTAAGAACATTGATATAAAATGTTGTAATTCTGCATTATTTTTGTTTTTTAATCTATGTATAAAGAACACTGCTCAATGAAATTAACTGCTTTTTTCCTAAATCTCTCTAACGCGTAAATAATTGAAAATAGGCAATCCTAATGCTTTAAAAGGCAGAGGTGATTGATGTTCTACTACTGAGTTGTTGTTAAAGCATTTTTTCCTTCTGAACTTTGTTAGTACTTCTTTTTTTTCTTTTTTAAGAAAATGGAGTCCTGATTAATGAAAGAAGGGGAAAGAGCCTAAGGGCAAGTAGACATATCTATGTAGGGATGAACTAAATAAAGCCTATTAAGAGTGTTTGCAAAACTTTTCCACAAAAGGCTTATAAAATTTGCCTAGGAAAAAAATGAAAGCATCCCCAAAGGAAGAAAATTCCATTTAGCTTGTGGTTTAATTGAGATATAATCATTAATCCTACTGCACATGCTTTCCCCATACCCACACATTGTTTTACTTTTACTAGCTTCACCACATGACTCTACCATCCTGGAGACACATTCCTTTAGTTTGAACTGCCTCCAGTTTCTAAGGGAGAAAATACTTTGAAAATGAGACAGCCTCTAAACAAATGCAAGTCAAAGCAATGCATGTGTATGTGTGTGTAGGAGCTGGGGGTTGGGGGGACTGTTCTTCATATTGAACAATAGAAGGAATATCTTGTTTAATATTAATGTATAATCAGTCTTTCAGACCAGTGGGAAAACAAGGGAGAATACCAAATGCTGACAGTGACATCTTGTGAAGATAGGTGCATTTGTCATTTTGTACATAGTAACAACTGCTCATTTAACCAAATTCCTGGCATAAATGAAGGACTCCCATTGAAATTAATGGGAATTTTGCCACTCACTTCAACGATTTCACCCCTTACAACCATTGAAGTCAACTGGATTGATCATGTGAATAATTGCTCACCCATGACAGTGAGGGGTTTATAATTTGACACTGCATTATTCCACATAACTGGGAAATAGAAGACAAAACAACTAGACTAATTAAACCTTAAATCAGTTACCTGCCCTTGTCTCTTATGAACAAGTAGGTACTTGTTTCCTCCTCCTGAGGTAGCTGAATGGCTCTGAAATTTGTGTCCTAAGCATAACGCACATCATACCCTGAAATTAGGAATTTAATTGTGAAAAGAACATAAAAGTGATCTGGCAGGCAGATCCTCAGATGCTGTTAATTGTCCCAGATCTAATGACTTAAATGCAATAGAACTATGACAGTTTATCCCAGCCTATGAATGTATTATAGGTAAGAAGTATTCTTTCTTCCTGC